GTACTGAGAAAACCCACTTAAATTTTAGCGTAGATTTTAATCTTGCCAAAACAATACCACTTCTGTCGGATATCACTTAATGGGGTTTTCTTAATTATCGTATTTTTACGATTCCAATTCGATTTTACTAATTGCAGCGATGTAAGCAGTGATATTTTGGACGAACAACTTTGATGATAATAAAGGAAAATCTTGAGAAAAAGAACCTTGCGAATAAAGCAAAAAATTACTAATTTTCTACAAAAAAAGGTGAAGGGACGCTAATGTGTGCATGTGTAGGTACTAGTCAAATGCAGGTGATTTGCTGTGTTGTGGCTACGTTGGTTTATGACTCGAAAAAGGAACAACGGCGGACAAACAAGCGTACAGCTACTAGCCGGGCCAGGTGTTCGTCGAGAATGGCGGGCATGTGATTGACGATGCACAACTGAACGGCGTGATTGCTCTTGGACGAAACTTGGACAGAGTGCTCGAATTTGTGCGGCAAGTAGAGCACATCGCCCGACACCAACGACACGTTTTCTAAAAAAGCAAATGAAGGTGAAATTTAGACTTCAAAAACAACCGGATCCAAGTGCTAACCTGCTTTTCAACAGACGCATCTCATGGCATCAAACAAAAACCGCTCGGTCACATGAGTGCGCTTTTGCCAAGGTGCCTTGGCATTCTGTCAATAGTGAGACAACATTTTTTTCTCCAAATTTACAGAAAATGATGTTGGCGGTCATTTACGATGGTAGCTACGCGAAAATATGAAAACTTATTGGGAGAGCGTAACAGGAATAGTAAAATTTTAATATTAGCAGTCTCTTCTATCAAATGATGTCAAATTTGAGAATAGCGTAACTTGAAATACGCTCGGGAAACACCACATCAGTGGATACATATAAGAACTATCAAATAAACAATACACGAACTAACTGAGACACTAATATGACCAAGCGTACTGTGAAATGATTAACGCGGTTTGTTTGGGCTTGTGTCGACTGAGTTTACTCCAAGGGAATGTACTGGAGTCATAACGAGATTTCGTATTATCAAGTTTTCTTCGACTGCCACTGAAAATGTCATGGCCGGGCTCGGGGTGACGATCGATCGAAGGCACTTCGTCGGCAGAACAAATTGCATTTTAAAGAGGATGACAGACCAAACGTACCTGACTCGGCTTCATTGCAACCCGGAGGTTTTTTAATACTGACTTCTAAGGTTCCCTCAAGTTGGACAACGAAGATATCACCCATCAACGGCGATGATTTACCCAACAGGTGGCCTTTAAATGAAGAGTTGGCGAAAACGAGGTACGACGAGATCGGACCGTGAATGAACTCCTGAAGGAGCGACAGAGTTTCGGCAAGACGATGTGAGAAACGCTCCGGACCGTTAATACGGAGTGAATATCCAAGCTATTAAAAAGAAATCTATTATGTAATGTAACAATTCGGCCTCGGTATACACAGTGCGATGGATGCCTGTTGTAGATATGTGCACTTAAAAATGACATCAAAAAAACATGTCCATTGGGTGTAGAGAAGTCAATTTTTTGGCAGCCACAGTAAAGACATCAATACCTAACGAAATCCACTGGTGAGTTGAGAAATTCCAATAAAGCATTAATGAGAAATTGGTTACCCGTGTAAAGGTTTTTTCGGTAATGGGACATAGGGTGGTTTACGGGTACAAAAAATCGATTTATGTACTGACCAAGAGTAGTAGCTGTTATAGCAAAAAGAGACCACGTGTGGCTGGGTCCAAAGGGGTATGGTTTCGTGTGAAAAGCACAAAACGTATTTGAGAATAAAATACCCACATTAAACTGATTCCAAATGAGGGAGCAGAAAGCACGACCTTTGGGGAGCGGGGTCTGGGCGTCCGGAGGGCCCAGGAGTTCAACGTCCCTGCCAATGACCATGTGTTCCTAAAGAGAACAGAAATTGTTCTTAATTGCATACCGACACTGGGTTGGTCACAGGCGAGCACGGAGCCTTGCACAAATGACTGGCAAGACAGTGCCGGCCTGGCGTCCCACGACATTAACTCGAAAAACCACCCACCCACACAGAAATAAGCGTTTCCAAGTTCCTCTTCGGTATTAAATAACGCCAAGTCCAGCGAGTATCAGGTCGGCTAAGCAAGTAGCTGTTTAAAGTAGACCATGAAATTGGAAAAATAGTGGCTTCAAAGGGTATTGCAATAACTACCATTATACCAGACACATATCTGAAGGGTCTTAGCATGAGGCAAAAGGGTGGATGAGACCAGGTGATCACTTCTGCATACCAAATACTAAAAATGAAAATGAAAACAATACCTCCAACAGCCACGTGTTCACCTCGGAGAGGCTCAAAATGCGGTTGAAATTTTGTCTTGCAGCACCCCCTTTTACGTGCAAGTGTTTGATTCCATTGAAGTGACTAAAGTAAAAGATAGAGTGTAAAGCAAATCCCGAGACCAGAGATATTGACAATTTATTATGGAAATATGTTGACAATAAATAACGACGGCCACGTTTCTGTTAGTGGATTGCAATGGTTCGGAACCAAAAAACTTCATTTAAGCTTATAAACCTTGTCAAAAAGGTAGTTTATTCAAAGCCAGCATGTGATTCTGGTTAAAGTGAAGATAAGAGAAATAATGAAATAAAAGATAATATTTACCTTGAAAACGTGCTCAAGTCAAATGGATCAAGTAGTAACTGGAAAAGGGCACGTCCATGATCAACTGGATTGATCTCACAATCGTCTGTCACATCGTAGTCGTCACCCACTTCCTCAATACATTCCATCTCAATTTCATTCTCCCTAACTTCGATTTCGTTCATTTCATCCCCTTCCACGAGTTGTGGGACAGGTTCGGAACTTTCAACTGAGGATAACTTTGGGCATGTAGAAGCCATTGGCTCGGTGTTAGCCTCCACAATTTGCTTGGATTTCCTCCTTCGCTTCTTAGTTGATCGCCTTATTCTAGCTTCTGGCTGCCTAACCTGCAGTTTGACTGATTTCAGCGCAGCGGCGTCGTTTATGCAGCGCTTCGGTTTATTCTTCTTCTTTTTGCGCTTTTCTGCTGCTTGGCTGCTTGGCACTTGAGCTTTCCACTTTTCATTCACTTTACTAGCAACCAAATTCACGATTTCGACGACGGACTTATAGGATTCTAGCACCTCTGGTGCCTGAAATATGTGAAGCATTTAATTTACAATAGTCCAAACAATGCGTTGGAAACGACACCGTGAGTAGCATTTTTCTATCAAATACTATCACAAGGTAACGTCTAGCAATATTCGATGATCACATTTTGCATTCAGGAAAATCATTTGATCAACAGTGCATTTACTAAAACGATTAGCGATGTTGTTGTTTGGTGTTATATTCAGTAGGGCAAAAGTATGACTGTTTTGGGGGGTTTTACTAATTGATATTCGGAAAAAAATAAACGTTATAACATAATGTACAAAAAAGGACGATGAATCAATTTTTCACAAGGCTGGTGTTGGGACCATTTATAAAACAGTAGACTCGAAACTAACTAGAGCAAGGTCTGAAGTTGACGGCGAAAGCATGAACTGAGGTAGTCGAATTGGTAGTATAAAGGGCCACGTACAAGCGAGACATATGAATCAGATTCGTTCAAAACCCCCACACAATCGAATGACTTCGACCCAGTTTGCTTCCAGACTTGACTAAAATAAAATTCAATACTGCAGTCGTGCAGATTAATAGTTTCTATTCGACAGTTTGAAATCAGGACAATAAAAGCAGAAATAGTGGTGCTAGTAATCGGTTAAACCCAGCATAGGCCTCAACACCTCATTACTGCATAGACAAATGGTGCCGCATCGACAATTAGCGTTAGGACAATCCATTGCAAAAAAATTTACGATTTTTTATGCGTGCACTTGTCAGGAGATGCATTAAATGCACGAAATGTAGGCGCGAATCAAACACTAAAGTGCCGACCATTAAAAAAGCAAAAATTTGAATGGCCAGTAATCGTTGGTGCATGTAAATAGATCCGATTCACTTTAAAGGAGCAGATACTATGCAAATGAAGCCATGCTCTAGGACCCCAAAACCAACTATATTCGCAGATTGTAACAAAACAGTTACGTACGTGCTAGCAAAATAAAGTGTGAAATGGCTTGAATTCCACATTTAAGTATAGCGAAAAAACCAATTTCTAGGTTATATAATGGTCACGTCAGTAGCGCGGGATCAGTAAACACCAATAAATCAGGTTTCCTTGGAGGAGTCAGTTAAATTTCTGATCAAGTGCATTGATAATTTAAGACGGCTTCTCCTTGTAAATTGAAAAGTGTGTAGTGAATAACTTAGCATTACGTTGAGGCAATATTTGCATTAATTACACTTGGGTTAAGTTTATATAGATTCCTCCAAGCAATCCAAAGCCTAGAAAAAGATGTATTCAACATTTTAAAGAATCTGTTCTCGAAATTAAATTGTTCACTATCCTCTGACTATTTATTTACATGCTTAGCAGTCACCTCAATACTGCATTCTAACGAATGACAAGACACGCGACGAACTCTCTTAAATGAGAAAACGAAACGTTGGATCTTTTCGCGTTAATGAACTTGGAAAATGACTAGAGAAAAGCAAACCAATGTTAACCGCAGAGAAGTGCTTTCGGGTTAATAAGGATTTTAATTGACAGCTCATATATGAGAATTTGTAAACTCCAACACTTACTTTCTTTGCCCTTTGGATTTTATAAAACTCGGAGGCTGACAACATCGCCGGAGCACGTGCAATTTTGGAGACGTATTAGGGCGCAGACATATTAGACTACGCTGGCCTCAGCTAATCCTCTGTACGTCTACGTTCCAATAACATACAAGGAAGATAAACAGCCAACCAGAGAGGAGGATAAATATATAATGAGCGTGGTGGACTCAGACTGGGCCTGATATGTGATTCGAGGTTGTGATTAGTCAATAAAGCCTGTTCTGCTGTACCAGTCTACTTTATACTAGGGCTTGGAATTTCTGCACAATGCCCTCCTAGAGTGCATCCACATTAGATCTCGCCTAGCTCAGACAATTGGTGTTTAAATAGCCATCAATGAAGATGTGCACCTAACCAAAGACAAGGACGAATGAGAAGCTGGCATGCAGGACTCGGGTGGACCGCGCCTGGAGAAGTTTTGAATTGTGGTTCGCTAATTAAGCCTGCTATAACCTATCAAATTTTTTCATTCTAGAGCCTAAGTGTTATATATACACAAACCTGGTGTGGTCTATAGTGCACTTCATAGGCACAGATGCATGGATCACTGTGAGTGCAGACAGTCCTGTCTGTGTGCTGTAAAATCGCCTATTTTGAAGAATGCCGGCTATCTACAGGCAAGTATCAACGACTTACGCCACATGATGGATGGCGCCTCCAATTATGGTAGACTAGAGCGAGCGGCGCCTAACGGAAGCTTCTGGCTTTAGGTTGGTCATTAAGTCCTGCGGTGTTATACCTACATTATCTGCGCTGATATCAGCAGATGCGTTTGAATTGTGCAAATCCAAACCGAGCTCTTATCCATTTCTACTCAGGAAAAAATGACCATGGATGTAGGGTGTTGTTTACTACGGCGGCCAATCCGATTTTTAAAAACAATAACAGAATCCATAGAACTTGTCCGGTATTTTTCCTAAATGAACTCCGAAGTATTACCTAGAATGTTCAGGCATTTATTTGAAGCCTTGAGATACAGTTTATCTTGTGTTATGTCACGCGGCGTAGTTGCTGTCGAAGTTTTTTAAAGTCGAGGCACCCTGGAATGTCCATTTAATCCTTTACGGAGATATAATTTTCGGACTTAAAGTTGGACCATTTTAATCCCTCTTCTAGTCATCTTTAAAGAGATTTTTTCACTAAACTGCTAGCTACATAATATTCATAATATGTTGTTGGCTTGTGATGTTCTTTGCGGGTTAAATGAATGAAACGGGAATGATTGACAGCTTCCAGAACCCCAAAAGTCGAATCCGCTTGACACAACCTACCCAAATTACCTATCTAAATTTACTATGCTTGTGGTGAAAGAAGCTTGAAAAAGGAGCAAATGCTTGTCTGAATTCTTCAGACGTTGCTTTCTTAACCAACTCCTTACATTGCCAAACCTGAAATCGATTTCTCCGTTGGGCGCAAAATCTGAAAGCGATTTATTGGTTTCTAAGTCCTTGACAGTCGGATCCTGATAGTTTGACACATTAAAAGAATTTTGTTTTACAGTTACCCATGAACAGCAGGATTTTATTTCAAAGGCATAATCCGTTTGCTTGCTTTTGAAGTGTGATTGCCATTAAACGGAAGCAGTTGGGTGTGTTGAGGTCTATGTATATTCAAATAATGCAGCCGTGTTATGATCTTCACTTTTAAGCCACATGATTGGTCGTTAAACGGCGTGAAACAGCTTTAGCTTCTAAACTCCTGCCAACCTCTTCTACTCTGCGGAGGAGACAGTGAGGCAATCCATAACGATTACACATGTGCAACTCATAAAATTTCAATGCGCGCACTTTTACTGGTGGCTTGCTAGTTTGCACATTGAGATAGTAACTACTTTTCTAAACCTAAATTTTGTAACCTCAATAATAATGAGTACACTTTTTCTTCAGGGCTAACTTCAAACTACGGTCTTGTTTAGTCTACTAATAAGCCCGCGAAGAATTAATTTATGATCCCTCGTCCCATTTTTTTAACACACACGTGGAGGATGTCAATGCGGTGTACCTTTTCTAATTCCCTATACATAAAATGGATAAGACAGTCTACATTGCTATCCGGAGACCAGAATCATCCGAGAGCGACATTCAACCCGTATTTATCTGTTCATTTTATTAGGGCTTTAGGTGTATTGTTGTTTTTCGTTGGCTGCAAATATTCCACGTATTCCATTCAAACACAGAGGGACAGATGATTTCCTAAAGATATCTCTTGGTACAATATGGCTGCGCCCTATGCCGGCAGGTCAGTGGTCTTGATGTTGTGGCAAAATAGACTTTTTTCTTTTCACAATGGCCAATTGTTTTTATTCCTACGTACAGCTCTTACAATTATCAGTGAATTGTTTTTGTCTAATATGCTGTGTTACATGCTCTTACTATGCTTGGATGCAGTTCATTCTCATCTTGACTAGCTTGCCCACTACCATCAAATAAATTTGGCAAGGAAGCACAAACGTCTCTGCTGTCAATTGTGGGTCACTATTCACCGTGCCCTTAACATCTCTTGAGTATTTTCTTGTTAACTATTGTAGTGCATAACTCTTCTTTGCTGCCAGAATTTGTTTGTATCGATTAAATATCGAGTGGAATAACGGCTCTTGAATTTTTTTATGGTGCACAGATGTCTAGTGTACTCTTCTCACTCACTTATGAAACATCGCGTTTCCTCGTTTCTCTATTAGGCCTTTTTGTGTGAAATTTGCTACTCAAACCTTTAGAAATGTTATTTGTTTCTGTTTTTTCTCTAATAGAGCTGCATATTCTAGGGTTTTAATTAGTAGTTTTTAATTTCTATTTTTATCGGCCTTGAAGTTGCCTATTTACATTTGTAGGTTCTCCCAATTGTGGTGGCTTTCAGTCGTCTTTTTCACACTAATTCCTCCATGCAGTGCGCAGAATGATGACGAGTTTGGCGAATTTTATGACCCCGATGAAGGTTCTCTTTGTAACATTTAACCATTTTCTTGTTTGGCTTTTAAAAATCATGTAGCTACTATTACATTTACATTTCATTGTTTTAGCATCACTTTCGAGAAGATATTTTTGGGTCTTTTCGAATAAAATATATTGAAAGTGCTAATCTAAGCATATGCATGGCTAATCTGCTTGATTAATCCTTTTCAATCCAGTTTCTTTTGACAACGGCGTGGAAGGAAACCTTCATCGCGAACCCACGGGAGAAGAAATGTCGGGTGAATTTAACACTGGCTTTGAAGAATCCTTAGGAAAAGAAGTGCCTAACGATGAAGTGAGTTTACAACAGCCTTTCTGTCTGTTCTTGTGGCCGTGGATTTGACCTATGAATGCCTACTCATGAAAACAGTTTCCTATTCGGACTGTAAACACTAATCGTGGTGGTAAAGAACATGAGTATATCTTTTGCTAAACCATCGCAGTCTCTAACCTACGCTTATTGGTACATATCGGACGTTGGGTGTTTGCTATTTGTCGGCCTCGCTGCGGTCCTACAATAAGCGCTTGCTGTGGCCTAATACGACGCGAAGTACCCAAGGAAGAAATAAGACCGGAGATGACAGACGCGGCCGAGGTTGTTCAAAAATGGAGCGACACAATCATAAATCGAAATCTCCCTACTTTGGGTGCGTTGCCACCAGAAAGATTCCGTTGCCTGAACGTGTTTGAGTTGTGTCAAGCTGTACAGTGCTAAGGTGTTTATGGATGTGAATCGGCATTATGTCAAGCAAATAAGCCTGTTGTAAAACCGAGGATTACTTTTTCGTCTCCTTTTTGCTTGCCCATAAGCGACCTTCGTCTGAATTGGAGACCGATGACGAGGAATTCGAGGGTTACGTCACACCCTCCATACCTGACTCCCCGTCGTCCTTCGTTGAGGGAAATGCTGATGCCGTTCTGAAAAAGCCTCCTCTTCAGATAGCCAAAGTAAGCAGCTTCTGTTACCTCGACGTGCCTACTATTGTGCTTGCAAATGCCTCATCGTAGTAGTTGCTATTTGTCTGTGTTTGCAACCAACAACACCACCTCCTGTGGCAATCAGTAGGAATTAATTTTCAAAACCGAGTGGGGTTGCTGGTATACTCGTCATCGTATAACCTCGAAGCTATGTAAAAGGCACGAATTGGCTGGTATTGATTACATGTGTTCACAGTATTGCATTACATAATGCATAATACATGGGGTCTATGTGAATTGTTTAACGTAGTGAAAGGACGTGGACTTTGATGGATGTTCTGCAGAAGAGGGGTCAGTATGCACAAGCGTGTTATGCAAGTCAGACTGTGCGCAATCCGTAGTTGTGCTTATATGTAGATTTAGCCCTTTGATCTTTTGTTGTCACATTTAACCCATGAGAAGACGAAAATCAATTTTGTTTTACATGCTTCTTAACTTATTTTCGGTAATTTTTGATTGGAATCAGCGTGAGTCCCTACAAGTTGGATAATGAGGTGCCAGACTTTCCACTTAACTGGCTTGTTATCGATCATGAAATTGGAAATTTTGCTATTAAAAGTGAAACGACGTGAATTCACGTTAGTGTTCTTAATCAGATGGCTATTGTTTTTTGCTGGCTGCATGTTCCGCGGTGTGTTTCACTTGTTTGTGATACCTTTGGCACCAAATATCCTACATTACGTCTTAAGCAAAAAAGGCTTGATTTTGCTCGCACAAGTTACTCAAGAACGCCATGTTTATGAACAAATTAATGTGTAAGTTTTTGCAGCCACTTTGTTTCAACTTCTGCGCCATGCTATTAGAAACACTCCACAAATACCCATGTACCCTAATACCCCCAATTACTCAAGGCCCCTTCTCTTCGCGTCGCAGATTCCGATAATTTCCAGAACATCCCTTCATCAACTGAATGCGCGCTCTTTGACTCGTTTATTTGTTCCTTTTAGGTTCCCCATACATTCCGTTCATGGGACCACTACACCATCGAGATGCTTTTCTTGGCGATCATTTTAGTCTATCTCGTCAACTTCATAATCGGACGCGGAATCAACTCTCGTCTTGCTAGCGCATGGTTTGACGCTCACAAAGAACTACTTGAGTCAAATTTTTCTCTAGTTGGTAAGGGGTTCTCGTAGTTGTTAGAAGGCCGATTTGCCACACTTGGTACATTACTACGTTTTCAATAATTGTCGCTCATCTTAAAATTGGAAACAAGTAAGACAGCGCTTTACCACAAAATACCTTTTATCATTTTGTGAAATTACTCGCATCCATCACAAGTAAGTGGGTGTTTCCCCGCCTTTGTCGAAAATCACCACCCTCTCCTTCCTTCCTTCCACCTAGGTGATGATGGCCAGGCGGAGCCAGGGCCACCACAGTTGAAGAAAGAATCTGAAAGTCTCTATTCCCTTTGGTGCTCTGGTCGAGTTTGTTGTGAGGGGATGCTGGTGGAGCTGCGCCTTCTCAAACGCCAAGATCTCTTTTTCGTCATCCTCAACTGGTTAAAACCAGCTAGTGATTCTGTTGTAAGTTAGCACAAAAGGAAGGGCCTGTGGACTTTGCCTACCGCATTAAACTCGTGTTGACGACCGTTGGCCACGCTTACTTTCGTTTTGATGACCCAATTTGATTTCACTCGACTTTCCTAGATCTGTTGAAGCAAATTAGCCCCTCATATTAAGTTACCCAGAGTCTGAAAGATAGTGGCCTTACCCATTTTGTTATTCATTTTTGCCCAATGACATCCAGAGGTAAATTGAGGAGAGCAGTCAACGTCAAATTTTGATTTATTTAAGGTGGTCAAGGTAATACTGGATGACTGTGAGATGGACGGATGGGTGCTTGCACTGGGCCAAAAGAGGACACTGAGTGTGCTCGTGAAGGAGCACTTTGATTTGGCCACGTACCCGCAGGACCGCAAAGGCCAACACTACGTTGGCCTCCCTGAACCCTTTCTTGTGCTCAGCGAAATCCCCGATGCGACGGCAGCCATACTTAACCCCACGGTAAGTCGTTCCGTTCCTGGTTGTGCTCCCCATCGGCTCCCTCCCTCTCTGCCTTGCTTTTCACTAACTCACCTGATATATGCCCTGCTGCGTTTATCTTTCTAGCAGTGTGTATTCAAATTCACAACTCTTTTCACAAGATTTCTTCCATTTTCTTCACTAATTGGACGATGTTATCGCCCCGCCCCCATAATTTATCCCTTACCTTGTCATTTGGCTCGCGCAAATTTTTCTAGGAGAAGTCATTAGGTAATCTTCTTGTTTTGCAAAGCGCCAGCCATTTAATTGAGTTGTGCATTTAATGTTGAAATTAAATGTGCATTCACTCTCCTATGTTGGTACGAATCTTAAGCTGAATTGATGATTAGATTGGTGCTAGTTAACTCCCGGTACTTAACCGTTTCCGACGTTCTAGCAAATCGATTTTTTTGCTTGAGGCAATAAGATAGTTTCAAGTCGAACAAAAAGGGCCAACTACCACTGATAAGAGTCCAGGCTTGTAAGTCGGTCACGAACAACGAGTTGCGGAAATTACCTATTCTCGGTCTGCCCGATAGTGTGGTGTGAGGTGTTTTGTGGAATTTTTTTTATCCCGGGGGCAACTTGGGTCGTGTTAACTGTCGATGTGTTGGAAAATGCTCAATTGTGAAACCTTAGTCCATTTTAGCTTTAGTCTTTGGAATCTGAAATACGGCCCAACTATGCAGTTTTGGGTTCCCTAGCTTTCTGTCAACCAAAAGAATATTTTGATTTGTGCAAAATCATGCCAAAAGATACGGGTTGCTCTTCCGGCTCCACTTCAAACTGAGCTCCAAATGTTTATGCTCCTCCGAAAATGGGCTGCATGTGACCACCACTTTCAAGTCGGACACGAGCGCTTTAACCAAAAAAGTATCACTTCACGCATCCAGTTCAGTGGTCCCATCTTTTAGAAGTTGAACGTCACGAATAACAGATTTCAGAAACTGAGCCTTATAATGGTAGTGGTGCTGAGTTTTGCTTAAATTACCCTATAGAATGTGAGGGCAGTTTATCTCTAAGGCTCCGACCCTCAAAGCTTCAGACGACAGGTTCCGTAAAGGTGGGGTGTGTGTGTGTGTGTGAACATATCTTCTTGTTTAGATCTTTTCTTTCACGCGTGCTATGTAGCTCTTATTATCAGTTAACTTTTAAGGAGGATCCTTCTTGAAAATTAAAATTATCGAAGTTAAATATTTTTTGTCCACCACTATGCCTTTTAGGTATGCAAGCTGGTTACAGATCATCAAAGTTCAATAGAATACCTCTATTTCTCAGACCAGTACTCCGGTCCAAAGGGTTCTAGCGAGTAAGTCTGTGTTTGGCTGCATCAAAACCCTTGGAGTAGTTCAGAGCTATTTCCTGTTTTCCTGCCGCTGTCGGCCACGACATTACTAACTTGCAACTCCGAGGGATCGTTCAGTCTCATAAGATTATGAATTTGGAATTTCCCATCATGCATCTTAGGTGTGCTTTTAAACATCATTGCCACGTTGATGTCGGTTACACGTTTTTGTTACGATATTACTTCCCGCGAACCAGGCCTAGCTTGTTTTCGCCCCATGGGCTAGTTTCGCCGTTTTTGGCAAATATTGCGACGATCATGCGCAATCAAGGCAACTACAAGGCTTTGAGATCGCCGTTATCGATCAGACCTGGTAGCATTGTGGTCCCGACGTAGCCCGCTATGCAATGTAAATTCATCAGTGTTGCGCGCCTTTCCAAATCGTTGCCATCGTGTGGCTCTGTAGTTTTTTTTTACGGCAGTCGTAATTATCTTTCTCGAGGGTCATCCAAAGTCACAACAGGGTATAACTAGAGGAAACTATTTCCCGATTTCATCGTAATACTACCAACACATTTTGTTTAATGGACGACTTTTTGACAGTGATAAGCGACTGCAGGTGACTATGCAATCTATAATTCAGTTGCCTTAATAATCACACTGACGCAAAGTCGAGAACATCGAAGACGTTTCAGCTTAGACGCAGACGCGCGTTATTTAAGCTGTCCGCGTCTGTTGTGCAGCGCTTTCGCTGAGTGGTCGCTTCATCGTGATTGACCACGTAGTCAACTCTCGACCGGTTAACACAAAAGGCGGGCCTTTTTCAAGACCAGATCTGGTAGTAATCATCAGTACGCGGACGTGGAACGACAGCAGGTCGAAAATTAAACCCGGTTATTGGAATGCCGTGTGCGGGAGTGCAAAACTAAGTTTATGTGAAGTGATGTGTGTTGAGTGGGTGCGCCCCATCTTTTGATCCGAGTTGAAAATTGGGGGTCTGATTTTGCACGGACAACGATTGAGAGTCGATAAGTGCAGTGGATAGTTAAAAGTTTAAACTGTCATATCTCATTTGTAGGTGACGACTAGCGTGTGAAATGATATGTGATTTACAAATAATTTATACTAGAATCGCTAGTCGAAGGGTCCACTTACTTTCAAACCTCTTTTCTGAACCCATCTACATGAACGGTCGTGATTTTTCCTATTGTTGCATATTGCAATATTTTTTGATCCAATGTACGAAGGAAACATTGGACGTCCATGTTTTGTGCTTTTATCCAATTTGACATGTGCACTGATGTTTTTTTATGTGTGGTCTCGTAGGGAAACGCGGCGGTGTTCTGCTTTGCCTTGACGTCTTCTGCACTAGACAAATTAATTAATGTAATTAATGGCGCAAATTACACTCTTGATACCTTATTGTTCACGTGTATTTTTTCGGCTTTTAGAGAACTGAAACCGCCGAAGCCTGAAGAGGTGCAGAAAGTCCTCATTTTTTCGTTCAAAAGTATGACGCCTTAGTGGGGATTTTTTTTCAAACATATGGCGATTTTTTATTTTAATTTCGGGCACTCTTAAATATTTGACTATTCATGTTAGCCAGTCAAGCTGCAGATTTCGGTCCACCTGTGATCGCGCCTTAATGGCACTTTCGCCTCTGGCCAATCAATGTTGTCAATATCGACCCCGGTTCGACCATGCTAATCACATGCCAGACAGTACTATTAATTTTTTCGCACTTTGATAAATCGATTTTTCGCGTGCCTTTTGCCCCACCTCATGTATACTGTGCTCTAATTGGTGGAGTTCGAAATTAGTGGCATTGGATTGGTATAGCCTGCGAGTTGTCCCAGCACGACTTGAAGTATCAGAATTTAGGGAAGGAAATTGTGCAATTTCAGCCACTACCCCCATTGCTTCGAATGACTGTTGTTCAATTTCTTTTTTTTAGTTGGCTGCACGAATGCCTCACCGCAGAAGGATATGGAATCAATCAAGCCACTCTTTAACTTTGTTTTCTACATGATCGAAAAAGCCCGAAAGCTTCGTTTGAGTAAGGAGGTAAGTCAACACCTTAAATGCCTAACTTGACACTCTTGAAGGGGCTACACAATATTCCCTCCAAGCGTATCTATTCATGCGTAATTAACAATTATCACTGCTAGCATTTATATGATTTCCCAGGCCAAATTGAAGTCGGAGAAGGCGCGAGCGCGCGTGAACGAGACCCTCCTCAAGTCCTTGCAAGCGGCTCGTCAAGAAGCAGCTCAAAACAGACGCGACGAGCAGCGCAGAGCCACGAAGGAGCGCATCATGGCCGAAGAGGATCCAGAGAAGGCTCGCCGTCTTGAGGTTCCTGTGTTATTAACTTGTTCGCACTTACTCTATTTCACGTTTAGCGGCAAAATTCACTAAGCTACGATTGTGGTCGGTAGTTTTTTTTTTCCTAAATAACTGGTGGTGTACTTTTGCTCCCGATTGACGCACATCATGAAGTCCATTGTAATCTCTTAGACTATTCTTCGCTTGCTTTCCTGATAGATTAAACTCCGTTTTTCCTACTTTCCGGATTTAGTGCTGGTAGTTACATTCCACACCAGTCCTAAATCGTTTTTGGGCCACGTAGTGACGATGTGTCTGTATCAGGCAGTTTGGTTGTAGAAAACCAGGATGTTATCAAAAATGGGCAGCCTAAATGCGAGGTATTTGGTCTGCCTTTCAACGTCGTCTGTGAAGGTCGTAACAATACATGTGGGTTTATCTAGCGTGCGATTTAGTGTATAGGCGAGTCGTGGTTTTAGTCTTGTTTGGACGACTTAATCTATATGAGTTAACATTATTGGGCCACACTGAATACTATGCCCCTCCACAGTATGCGTACAATATTTTGTAACAAAAGTAACGCATTTCGGTTTATTGGCACAAAGGTTTTTGATTCCGTGAGTCAAGATGTGTCTGCCGCCAACGCTCGCCTCGTTATAGTTTTGGACACCGACTTGATATACCTACGATATTTGTTTGATATTTTAAGCATGAGGTTATTTGCCCGTAATATCTTATTGTTAGAGTAATTTCCCTCAGTGTCGACTTCTATTGTCTCATTCAGAAGCTTAAACTAATGTCTTCAGTGACGACTTTGTCTTTTTTTTAGGAGAAGGAACAAAAAAGGGAAAATAAGCGACGCCAGCAACGAATCAAAATGGTGAAAATGAAGGGAATGTAAATCCAATTTTCGTCGAATTAGACCCTGCCATCCCGCCCTCAGTCCCTCTTTTTAACTCACGCCCCCTCTCACTCATAGCCCACTGATTGTACAAATGAATCGCCAGATCGGTGTATTTAGGTGTTAGTTTGAGACGAGCCCAGACTCTGGAAGTGGCAGGGTGGCTTGGTGTTAACAGTAGTCGCTACGGCCATATCATTTTCTCGCTGAAGTAAAGGTTTCGTTTCTAGTTTGTTTTTATTTTGTATTTAGTCGGACCAGATAAGTGGTAATACCGCGGTTCTGGAATAGTGTTTATTGCGTGCACCAGAGCCACGCGTTAGCACCAGTTCAACCGCACCCTCTCAGGTCAATAAATCCTATTCCTTGTGCAACAAATTTGTTTGAGCACAATTCAGTGTGCAAGTCAAACAAAAGGCCAAACTCTTGGGGGGTGGGAAGGCTCATGAGAACTGCAATATGTTGGCCCATTTAGCGACTGGGTGGGACTCGGCTGACCCGTAAAATGACCCATTTCAAAGCACACGCAAATTTCCTGGGATCGCATTTGAGGATATTCTAAATTTAGAAACTCTTGGGATCCACGCGGCTAATTTACGTTTTGTGGTGTAGAATGCTCAAAGTATAGCAAAAGGTTTTTCTGCGTGAGTTGTAAAATAATAAAAACTCGGATTTTGATGTGTTTTTGAGTAGGCCTAGTTAGCAAATCACAGGGCATTGATTTTGGTAATTATAAAGTCGCGGGCTTTTGCTAAGTCTACTGTTGGGTACAAGCAGGTTACCATTGTACACATGTTTAGCCTGCAAAAAATTCATTGTTCCTGATTTTTTGACGGGCAGTGACACCTCGCAGACTCAGTCACATGAATCTGGAGTTAGGAAAAAGCTTAGGAGTAATGTGCATTATATTCGTAAATGGTATTGAAGTTACCCATAGTGAATAACCCTGCCGACAGAGTTGTTTTAACAAAGCCCTTGTAGGGGCCGAGTTTAGCACTATCACAAAACCCTATAGATAACAACCGGTCACAACCCGAGAAGAGAGAAGACAGAGTCGAAAGAGAACACGACCGTTTATTCGTGTCACGCCAGTCAATTCGAGTCGAGTAAAATCGAGTGACTAGCTTCTGTGTGCGTATCGATACGCGTGCGGTACAGGCGACTGCTAACAAAAAATCAATAACAAAGAAAGCGATTCATTGATGCAGTCGGGCAAGCACTCACGCGCGGTGGCTGTCCGTCCACAACAGTGCATTCACGCAAAAATCGATTGATTTGTGATCGTTCACGAATGCTAACTGTGCTGGCTTGCTGGTCGCCACGCCTCATGCTTAGTTTGTTCTGAAGTAACAGCGTCCAGAGGACACTTTCGGACCTTGAAAATAATGCTAACTTACATTCAATGGGTTTCTACCGACACAAAAGTACATCATTGTTAATGAGGACCCATATCAAGATGCTGAAAAGGTCACATCTACCGTTTTGAGCCGAGACTTTGCTGTGGCTTCAGCATCACTTTGTGGTTTAAGACAAAATCTAGCTCGGCGCATTAGCTTGTCGTGTCAACGTAACTCCTGTGTAGTGGATTCCACTAATTGCCTTAAAGGTTTTAAAAACCGTTACTAATATTTCTATTCATCTGGTAATTTGCAGTGATTCCTAGCATTCAGTATGGCTTTATATATTTGTATCCAACCTGTCAAAGGAATGTTTCATTGCCGTTTGTAAGTGTAAAACGTTGCCAGGTATGCGGCGCCCACGACACACACTCTTGCCAGACCATGGTAAGTTGAGCAATAAGTGGGTAGTAAAATCGCATGGTATCTGCCTGTCGTAATACACAGTGGGCTAACTCAGCCAAAACCTTAAATTGTGATTTGCAACATTAGAATACTCGCCTCTGATGTCATTCCGTTTGTTTGTTTAACACAAGACAATCTGTGGTGCCCAGAAGAGAAGGAGAATACCACAGATGGAAAGAGCGTATTCAGTTACAAAACTGTGCAGGTTGGGTTAAACACAAGGATAATGTCAGTAGATGAGAAAGCGTGCACGGGCTGTCGAGGTGGGGTTAAATTTCTCGAATGGCGTTCACGCATTCTATGGGTATAATTCATGCGAGACCAGTCATTCCCAAAAGCCCTTGGTAAACCACCTTCAGAATGCTCCAGTGTGCGAACATGGCCAATTTAAGCTGACTTGATATCAATAAACATGCAGTTGTATAATTTTAGCCTGTCTAGTCTTAAAGGCCAGGTTATCATTTGTCTTTGTTAGGAGTAATAAACTGAAGTCGCTGAGCATCTTGGTAATCATCCATTTTAACGACTGTGTACTCTACACAATTAATTTTCCAGTTGGCCTCGCAAAACTACTTTTCGTTGCAAGATTTTCATTTTAATTCAACATTAGTTCTAAGTTGTCCGTGAATATACCCTTTGCTGGGAAAATCGGCTGGTATTTTTAAACAAGGGTTTCTAGACAACACTGAAATTTTAATTTTGTTGCTGGTGGAATATTCTCCCACGATCTGAACAAACGGGAGTTTTGCTGTTGGTGCATTTCGATTAAAAACGTGAGAATGACGTTGACATAAAGTGTGTCGACATTGAAGTGAACGCTTTGGCCATTTTCACTTGAGAAAACGATTGCACAAATCTGCGAAAATGTCGAAGCAGCCTATTGAACACAGAAGAAGCTCATATCATGTTACATTTTTCTTTTTTGTAGAAATGGCCGGGCTTCGTTGCCATAGTTCCTTAAAATTCAATAGATTATTAGTGTTTTAGATGGTAACCAGACACCCTAAATTAATACGTTCCTTTTTAAATTTGTCAATACGAAAACACTTGCTTCTCCTGAAACAATAACAAAGTTGAAGGAAGTTCTACTCATTTAAGTCCACTATTTAAAAAATCTTAGCCAGGCAATTTAAGTTTGGCTTAATCTACGTACCTGTAAGCGCATTTTCTTCTAACAAGATGTGTTTCAGTGAAATATAAAACATAGAAACGTTTATTAAATAAATCAAGTCGGAGCATGCATTCATCAATATTACAAGTTCTCACAAAACTAGAGACTTCTGGAAATTAAGGACGACAAATTACAGCTTAAATGTTACGTCCCACCACATCTTTCACTTGATTGATCGGCGGGGACAAGAGAGGCGTAGGGAGGAGGTGTTGCACCCTGGGGTGTGGGCGGAACCAGCATCGACGGATCCAAAACGACTATTGTCTGGGCCTGACAACAAAATAGCGTCTAAGTTGATGGCACAGTACGCTTAGAGTTGAAAAAGTCAAGGTATTTCACCCTGTCACCACACAATCTGCAGAACGTGATACAAGGACAAATTTGGTGCTTACCGCGCCGACGGCAACCCTTTAGGATAATGAAATGCCATACATCACTTTTTGGGTTTAATTACATTTGCAGCCATTATTTATGAGATAAGATTATATCATTTCAGGTAATCGGCAGCTTTTTTACAATTTCATTATTTCTGAAAAAAAATGATTACCACTATGACTTTTCACGATGTTTAATCTTTGAGGAGCTAGACGGCCAACTATTGTCGGATGAGACATCTACAGTGACCGATTGTTTGAGGTTTTATCATTAGATTTTCTATCAAACCATGCCATACTGCTTGTGGGTGTTTACTGTGTGGACATGGACACGGTGTTTCTGTAAAATCATCGAAGGGACCATTTTTATCCAATTAAAATGTCCAAACTACATTCTTGAATTTTTTTTCACTTCCGGATACATTACTGTTAGCTCGGCCTAACATGACTGTCATTTCAAAATCAAGCGACACTGCAATTCTTGGTGTTTATTCTTTTCTGTTATCTGGGCTATCAATTCAATAAACACAGTTTGATGTTTTCCTCAAGACAAATCCACGCATTTATTTTACGATTTCTTATGCATGGGGTAGAAATGGAGTGCTTGTGAACAAAATTAAAGCAAACCAATTTCTACATGCAGTTTTTTTTCTTAATTTGACAATGTTAAGAAAAATATCAAAACACCAAGTTTATCACCGCGGTAATCTTACAACTGTGTTCTACAAAGGTTTGCTTAGGAGCACTTAAATTAAAAATTATGCTTGTCTCGTTTAAGCTTGGGCGAGATGTGTGTTGCAGAATTTAAAACGTGGAGAGAGAACCTCTATCACGAACCACTGCAATCTCGGTCGGGATGAGTTTAATGGAGTAAAGAGCTGGTAATAAAATTATCGCCAAAAATCAATAAAAAGCTTTTGGATAAGCACCAGGGTATAAGCAATGAATTTCGGCTGTGAAGTGAAAAACACTTGACAGAATTAAACAACAGCCGTGGTTTTCTTTCATTGAACCCATGCCTGATCTAAAATGGAACTTTATCTTACATTTTGCTGCAATTTCCGAGTAAAAGTTAACGTTGATAATATTTGGCTTAGGAGAGCAGTTCACTTGCCCCGAGTTTGAACTGATCGAACTGTCTATATAGGTAGCAACTAATCCAACTTACGGAATTTGCTCGTCGAACGGTGCTACTGGTTTCAAGTTGGACGATACTTATCAGTTGGGCCTCGTGAATCTTTTGGATCATCCTGGCATGGCGGTAAGTGAAGTAAACGGCTGCAGTTGCCAACACGGAACACAATATGATGAGAAAACTGGCTACTGAAAACTGTCTAAAATACGACGAGGGTATTCTAGGTTAGGATAATGACGTTAGTCGACGTATTAATCTCGTATGGTGAATCCAGTGCGTTTAAAACAACGATCTTTTTTAAAAGGGTGCTGCCCGCATCTTCAAATCAGTTCTCAAGTGTGAATAAAATATCCATTTGTCTGGAGCTATTTTAAACCCCTGTCCAGCGTGGGCTTTTTTGTAGGATGTTGTTTTTGAAAAAGTGTATGTAAGCTGGTTTATAAAACCAAGAAAGGTTGCATAAGTTTTGGCATCAGCAAAGAGGTCTGGTGCCTTTCTGCTTACAAGGAAAATGGAAATATAAAGGGTGTACAAGACAATTCAATCAAACGCACTAATGACAAGTACTTATCCAATTATTCCCAACTTATCAACAGGGTTGTCTATGCGGTTCCAAATTTCGCAGGCTTCGTGATCGATAAAGAGTGGACAAACAGCTGAACACAATCAGAAATATTCGATGTTCGAATTGAATAGTTAGACAAATGACAAAAAAATGCTTTGCAAAAGCAATCTGTAATGGTCGCACATCTGGACAACAGGAATAGGCAGAATGAAGATATTAGTTGTCAGGAGCCAAATGTCACTTGAAAACTAAATTGGCATGTTAAGACGGTAGTGCATTGATAAGTGACAGTGTGTAGCGAATAGCAATTTAAATACGATAGGAGTGACTGCAAATTATCGAGAATGTTAGTCGCATACATTATTCTGTGTGCAACACGGTGTTTAGGTTTTGATGTATTTGATTTTTAATTGATTTGTGGTACTTCAGACTTGTCCCAACAGCCATTGATAAATATTAAAAACTTGTACGGGAATTTGATTATTCGCTAGTGAAACTATATAGTGGTCTTAATTTAGGCTGTGTGATAAAAAAAAACTACAGAAAGACTTGTTGACACAACAGCAAAGCTTACACCTCCGTCTTGTGTCGAAAGACGTTAATTGTAATAACAATAGCTGCAGTAGTGCTAATAACATTTAAAAATCCTCCGAAAATGAGGTATGAAAGGATGTTTCTGAAAGATGTTGTAAACTTTCCGTGAATTTTCTGTATGTCATCTCCCGTGGCGTCCATCTGAAAATGGAATCAACTTTGTTCAGTAAGTTAGTGGAGAACTTTCTTCACAAGTTGAGATTTTCTAATCTTAACACCGTCTTAGCTTCTGCCAGTTTATTGAGAAAAAAAGACTTAATCTCGTCTTTGCTAAATTGCAATCATCACTATTAATGCCGAGGTTAAAGAAACAGCCGGAGTTCGAATGTGTGTATGTCGCTTAAAGAATAGACTTGGCTTTTCAAATTAAGTGAAACCAATTTACCGAAAATCGACAATTTAAGACCATTTTTTCTGCAATGGATTGCAATGAAACCAATAAAAATAATTAAAATTACAGTGCGAATTACAGCTGAAACCTATGCGCTTCCTTTTTCCTTTCATTTCAGAAGGCACGTACGAAAGAAATGTTAGGTAAGCGCTATTTTTAAGGCAGCCGAGCAGTTAATTCAAATGAAAAATTCGGCAGAGACACTTCAAGGAATTGAAAAATTTGTCCATTCTCTAGGAATAATTGGTCACCGTTGTTAAACTTTACCACATTAATGTCTTTCGTAATATCTGGCGCTAGTCCAATTCCATACAAAAACCAAGATTGCCACTCTGTGTTCAAGGACAAACACATTTAACTGTATTTCTAAGAATTTCATGATTTTTTTTAAGGAAAAGTGCTCTGTATGTTAGAGAAGGCAACGTAGAATGGGAAACTTAAAATGGCCCAGCTATGGCTGGTACTTATTCATTTCAATCTGCACCGTCACTGTTTTTTATTGGAAAGCTGTAAAATAGCCAATGCTTACTGGTAACTTCCTCTCTGTTTATATCACAGAGAACTGGACGAACTAGCTTTATCATTTGATCGAAGAAATTCCAAGTGACACCCTTAGCATAGGTAACCACTTTTCTCTTTAAAAGTATGTTTTAGAAAATGGATGACAAACATTGGTCAAAATTAATGTCATTTAGGAAAGTATAGCTTCTATAAAAATAATTCTCAAAAAGTGTCACTGATAGAGGGCTTCATTCCATCACCTCCGGATAACTAATCAACTCACCAAATCCTTGACTAGATAAGGAATCTCTGACTTCACATGCGAAAATTTGCCCAGAGCTTACCAAAGACGAAAATGCTCCTTGTTATGCCCTACCGGACGCACCACAAGTTAATAATGGCAATTTTGTTAGCATGGCAACGGAGACATAAATAATAGTTCCTATGGTAGCGAAAAAAAGGTTACCAAAGTAACCAGTCACATTCACATGTGACGTTACCTGAAAAGGTTATAATATCATATTATCTTCATTAATACTCATTTAATATGTCCCACTTGTTAGAGGAGATGGGGATAACAGGCAAACAAGTGAAGTTAGGGTTAATTTATTTTTGAGGAATTTCCATACTTCTGGATCTAAGAGCCAGGGTGTAATACAAATTCGGCAAAAGACTGAATGCGTTCAAATTAACGAAAATGCTTTGTTCGTCGGTCAAACTAAACCAGATTTTACAAGGCGGATGTTTTACATACTACATAGATCAGGGCGAAACGTTCATTAAGAAATAGGATTCTCAAATATATTTAGCTCTTGCCCAAGACATCCCGTATTACGTTTTAGTGAAATTACTTGAAAACAGCCAGGAGAACTAAATTTGAATTGGGTTCATCACTGTAGCCCAATTAATCAATACTCAGTTAAATAAAACAGCGAGTCAGTTGTGCATACGAAAGCTTGCAATCGCCAAAAATTGAATAAATATACGTTTAGCAACGAATTCAAAGTAAACTCCAATAAGGAATATAAATGATCGAAAGGAATTTTTTGACTTTATTCATGATCAAGTCCTTTTAACACCAGCCAGAAAATCCAGACTGCAAGTAAAATTTTGCATCACTTTAGCAAGATGCAGAACTTGATCGGAATCGCCTCGTCTCCACACCTTCTGACGCTAAAAAAAGATTGTTCCAGCGATAAGTCTATTCAAGTCTGTTACTAAGCTT